GGATTTTATGCACGCGCAAGCACACGATGTACTCGTTGGGGTAAGGGAGTAGGCCCTGTGATTGTGATCCCGCAGCAGGCACGGAATTCAGAGCAATCGTCACGCATGCATTCCCTTCTGAAGTGCACTGGAATCCTACGTTTTGCAGGGTCCTGTAGATCGCGCGATGACATCCGCTTCGATACATTATACGAAGCACGACACTCGTACAGAAAGGCCGGTAAAAATCTGGTGGAATATGCCAATGAATGGCAGAGTCACCGACTATGCCGCCGCCCTGCAACGGCGCGTCTATTATTGATATTTTCCGATTTAATTTATTCAATCGTGTAATCTCTTCCTCGCTTTTGTTATATCGAAAATTGTCCACAAGTGTCCAACTGAATAGTAGAAGAATAAAATTGTGATTTAACGACTGACCTTCCACTCCTTGAGGCCCTTGTGGTCCAATAGGTCCTGGAGGCCCTGGCATACCATCACGGCATTGTTGCAGGCACTGAACAGCTAGCATGTTGTTTCTGAATATCGTTTCCAAATAGACATGAAGAAACTTACCACCCCTGGTGGACCCGGTTCTCCACGTTCTCCTTTGAGAGCCGCCCGATCGGGTTCTGAAAAAGGAAACGGATTATTTATTACCAAACTAGAGATCTCGATACAGACTCTATGAGTCCTCTATAACACTCCGCGCGTGTATCATCCGATTTTGCCACCAAAAACAGGCTCCGCTATTCAGAACGAATTCGAGTGCAAAAGCAGAAAAGCGCATTCTCCTTTCCCTCAAATTATATTCCCAGCTATCAATCAATACGGATCGATAATCGATCGATTTCCAGTTGGCATGCACACTCGGTCAAAACACATCATCAGTGATCATAAACTACTATCGTGCTGACAAGGAGACCTATAGAGGAGTGCGGTATTGGACCGTGTCGGTGAAAAGGCAGTAGGAGGCTATCTCCAAACGGATATAACAGATCACGTTCATCGCGGTCTGAAACGTGGACTTTCACCTAGAAAATGGATTATGTGACGTAAATCTGAGTACAAAATTCATGTCATGCGTACAGTAGGTTAATACGTACAGTAGTACAATGTGCATGGTCATATACTGATCGATTTTTTTGGATTTTTCGATCATATTGTTAGGTCACTGCGCGGCGACCTGCATGAATCACAGCGCGACAATCGGTTTGCTTAGAGTGCGATATGGTGGGGATGCCGACACAACGAGATAGGGGGCGCCTGGATTAACACGTTGACGACATCGCGCGTTTTGTGCTTTTGCACCGCGTGGGACAAGAGCGATTTTGCGAGCGCGCCGCCGCACACCAAATCCATGGATTTTGAGTTGTAAATACGCAATACTTAGATGCGATGAAATGTTTTCAATGATGTTCGATCTGTCTAAGCTTATCAGGAGTTATACAGTGATGGAACTTTGATCGAAATGACCATGTTAAGAGCCATGAAAAGGGAAATTTTACTCAATTTCCTTATTGGCTTCCAAAATTAATTTGGACGTGGTTGTTTCAGTAAAAACACATATCTTCCATACGGAATAGGTTTGTGTTCACTTCTGTTATTCCTTTTTATCAACATGTCTACGTTATTGAAAAGAAAACGAGGAATGAATTGAACAGACATATCCGTAAGGTCTGGAAAACGTCTGCCAAACTAAAGAATATTTGGGCCTTTCTGTGAGCCATGTGGTTTTTAAGTATGCTAATGTATGACCTATAGAATGAGTACAAAGACCTTAGGAATAAGTCGCACAAGCGCAAGAAAAAGGGATGACTTGGGTGGGACGCGTTACCGCGTCACAATGTCCCACGAGGTGCGCAAAGTGGGACGCGTTACCGCGTCACGCTGTCGTCAACGTAGATAGGGGACGTTGTCCGTGAACGAGTTGCAGCTCAAATCGATGTGCGGCGCTGCGCGCGTCCGTTGCTGTGTTTGTCGCCGCGCCCGTGAGCCTAGCAATCGCACTAAGGTGGGGGTAGTGTCGATATATGGTACAGATGAGGATGACTGATATTGAGAGTGGTCTTCCGGGATTTACAGGGGGAATTTTGGAACCTATATGAAGCGACAACTAACCGTGAGATGGTTTTCGACCCAGATCCATAGGTAGAGGCGGTGGTGGTGTCGGTGCTGGTGGGAATTCCTTCTCACGACTCTTTGCTTTATCTAAAGTACATTATAGTCAGTCAGAACGAGCATGTTATCTTTACGGTTCGTAGTAGCCGGGCCTGATGGTGGATCTGCAGCAGATACAGAGTTCGGTTATCATGGATCCGAAGCGAACGAAGGAACATGTTGCCTACGGTATATTGGCTTATGTGAATAGCCTACATCGCACGTAATAGGCCAGGGGCAGGGTGCAACAAGACCCGGCCGGGAATGGATCTCCAAAACTGCTACTCTACTCCGGTTCATGACGCAGTGAAGAATAGGGGAATAGTCCAGAGGTGCAGAGTTTTGGGGACCCATCCCCTGACGTTCCTTGCGGCATCCGCCCCCAGAAAGTGTACGACAATTTCCTCGGTACGGTTGCCGTGCACTTTTGGTCGCACGCGAAGAGCGGCAAATTCGCGGCGACGCGATTTGTTCCACGACTTATCAGAGTCAACCCTGCGTTGCGCAGTTCGCAACGGCACGTTGAGAGATCCTCAACGCACGCTGTATGGGCGGAGACGCAGACGGCTCGAGCATGCGAGTGTGAATGTTCGCGCGAGAGAACGTGTCTAATCGGGCGAAACTGCGCAACGTGGCCGTTGAAGAACTGCGCAACGCAGGGTTGACTCTGCTTTTGTATGAGCCAGTGTGCTATGGCCATTTCTCAAAAGATGTCCCATTTCATTGGCTGTTGGGAATTATTCAAAGTAGGAAATTGTGCCTCACTTTCACCACGAGGAGCCATCGAGAAGAAGTGAATGCTATAAGAAATTCCTCAATTAGCTTTGCTCACACTCTAGTTCAATGGGAGGAGACTGTGCATTCAGATTGGCGCATCATGAGTGATGGGTGCATACTATCCCAAAAACCTCTGCTTTGATCGCTCAGGAATAAAGAGCAAGTCACTTTATTCATAATTTCCCAAAAGTTAGCCTGAATGATAGCAAATGCGCCAAGAATAGCGTAGAACATAAAAAGAATGCTCACCTGCTTGATCCTTGAACTGATCCAAATGGTAGTCCTGAACCTTCATCATCGTTCTGAAAATGGACCAGTGATCGTGAGACACTTTCGTACGGGATCTTATGGGCAGAGGTACAACACAATAGCAGGAAAGCCACAAAACATTCGCAGATCTCAATCTCAGACGTTTACGTCCAGTCACTTACCTTCCCCTGATGACGTGCCTTTAGGATCTTCCGTTTCCGCCACTGAGACAGAATACGTCAAAACAATCACGACGAGGACAATTTTTAACTATTCGAAAAATTATCGTGATCATGCACAACATGATAATATCGAGGGGCGTGGCACATGAAAACTGCTCCAGCAACCTTGCATTCATAGGTTAGTTCTGCAGCTGACCCTCTCACACAGTAAAAGGTGGATGCCGGGAAAGAGGCGGATAGATCGCAGGGGAGGGACGCAGACGAGCGGCGCGATTGACGAACTTGCTGAACAGGGTCAACCATCACGCTAAACTGATATGAGAGAAAAAGAAATAAAAACTTGCCCCCTTTCCTTCCCTCCCCTCAACCCATATGCCAAGATTTCGAAATACTCCCTACTGACTCAGACAGACGAAAACTTGACAGATCCCTCATTAATCTCCAAGAACTTTTCGGAAGTTACTAGATTTCGTAATCACAACATCAGTGCGCATAGCATCAGTCCTAACCATCGGATACTGGCGTGGCAAAAAGAGACACTTGGCTCCACATTCAAGACAGCATTAATCACACTTTGCCTTAATATGAAATCGACTGCCCCAATTTATTAAAGAGCACATTCTAATCTATCTAAACCTTACATGACAGCCTTCTACACCGACGACATCAGAAGATTTTCCCACGGAAACATGGTTCGCGATACGAGCTCAACGGGGTCGTCGAGGTACCATAGACCATTACGACGTCCCTGAAATGCTGGTCAAAAGCGGTTTTGCATAGTCACAGCTAATGTCTCTGGGAAGCTATTCAACACTTAATCCATTGAAGAAATTATGAAGCAGCTTCAGGCCGGAGCGATTACTGTAAGCCTCGTTGAGCTCGACGGTGGCGGCAGATGACGTCATATTCTGAAGACGGCGGGGCAGTGAAGGAGGGCCTGCTTCTGTTTACGGGGGAACACCTTAGGAATATTTCGCCGTAAAACTTTCATTAACATCGGCACCCTGTGCGACGAAAAGTTCGATGATGTGCGCCATGGGCAAAGTGTCTTTTTTTTTGGCCACCCCTGTATACTCGCCTGCAGTAAGTGACACCGGTAGCTACTATCGCCCCATTTGCTCACCTCTTCCTTCCCCTTCCTCTCTCCCCTTCATTCCTCCCACGGGGACAAAGTGAAGGTGTAGGAGCGTTGTACTGATGTACAGGCTGCAGTAATAGCCTTTTAAAAAGACTGCAGGAATGAGGCGACAAATCCGATGAGAAGAAAGGTGGAGGCGTTAACAGACTGAAGCTTCTGCCACATTCGCAGAATCTCACTCATCCTCGTGTGATGCTCTTTGGCGTGACCCTGAGCAGGACCAATCACCTGTTTATAATATTACGAGGGAGACCGTATTCGTTACACGGAAAGTGGTCACATTTCTCCCTGCGTGATTGTGAGATAGTGGTGATATCTGAGATTTTAGAGTAGTTGTAGTAGGAGCCACCGTGGCCGGTAGGATAGAGGAGAAGAAGAAGAGGTCGTTTTTGGATGGGATCGTGACAATTCAGGGAAAAATTCCCACGAAAAGGAATGAAATGGGTGGGGCTAAAGCTTGTTGCTGTTCCTTGAAGAGGAGGACAATGTAAGAGTGTGCCGAATGGTTTCAAAAAAGTAGGAAAATTTTCAAGTGTGGGAGAGAGGAAGCTGATCTGACATCGAATCCACTCCCTTCCTTCCCCAACCCGCTATCAGAAACTACACTGGTGTGCAAAACTTAAGGACGAGACAGATGAAGTATCATAACCTTTTGATAGCTTTGTGGACCGTTTAACGGTTCCTGTTAACTGCTTTCTTTAGTGCCCTGTGGCAGCTCTTTGTATGTGTGGTTAGGTTCCATAGAGTCATGTTACGCGCCAGTAACACGTCGTTGGAAAAGCTACGTTCGTCCCTAAGTTTTGCACACCAGTGTATTAATTCAATAGTTTATATCATTTAGATAGTCTGGTTCATCTGACACTTGCACAGAACTGACCGTGATGAACGTGCTACTTGCATCTTTCGCCACAAAATTACCTATGGGTCGGCTTGCAGGAGAGTGTAACCGCCACAACGCTTGATGTGCGCCATTCTTCAAAGTTCCTTGATTTATTATGCCACATTCGTTTCGCAGCTTTCTGGATATCAACAAAATGTTGCTTGATCTTATTATCATTTTTACTACCGCCATATCATTCAGCTGAACGCGCCAAATGGTGCTTGAGCATTTGCGCACCTTTAAAGCAGTAGCTTTTAATACCTCATTATGAAATACAGTACATTTTTTTGGTTAATTTTGTTACCTGCAATTTATCGCTGCAAATTGTGATATTTTTGGACAAAGCACTTTGCCATGGCGAGGAACCAAACCATAACCGGGCACTTATCGAGCAAAAGCGCTACCATTACACCCGAAGCCACACTTCGCTTTATCCTAACTATCAGTGTTCCTTTGTCCTACGTATCAGGGCCCCTTATAAGCGGATTAACTAATAAGTTGAGGCAAATGTACTGCCGAAATTCAAGCCAACTATAGCTGGCAATATCCTCGGTGCCACGTTGTGGCAGTGCCTTCTGCCCAGCAATCACAAGGCTAGGATTATATTCTCGGATGAACCAAAACTTGGCATACTTGTGATAAAAAATGTTTTATAGTTCCTCATTGCTAATTGCCGCGGGAAACACGAGAACATCCTGAGAATATTTATGTGATACCGGAAGCCAAGCAACTGGCTACAGTAGATATTTACAAGTGGCTGCTCCCTTGGTCGCTTATTTATTGCTATAGGGCAAATGAAAAATGACAGACAATTAGGTAATCTTGATGTAGCAGTTGTCCCCAAGCTGCGCTGATGGGTGGTTATAGTTTAACAGGTCACTCTTTAACAGGTCACGTTCGAAGTCGAACAGTTGCCTGTGATTACCAAGTAGTTGGCTTGTCCGTTGCACTACGGAAGCTGATGCTCAATAAGGAATGAGTTTCATGCATCTTCATCTCCACCATTAACCCTTTCCGGACCGCCTGACACACATGGTGTGTCAGGAACTTCAAGAGCTGATTTTTCCAAGAGTTTGGTTTTTCGATAAAATATTTTATGTTGTTACATACCTATGTAACAGACTCATGCCATATGTATGAAAAAACCTAGACTTTAGGTTTAATCTAGGTTCTAAAATAACCAAAGAGTAAATGGACTTCCACTTTGGGCTCAAAGAAAACAGTTGTAGTTCGCTTGAAAACACTTAAAAACGAAGAATTTGTGAAATATCCTGCTCGTCGTATCTGATTCTTATGGATCCAATCGTTTTGGGCACGTTCTACTCCCTTTTTCTCCATACCAACTTATTTTGAACAATTTTCGTCCCTTCCTCCCTTTTTATGGCCCTTTCCCTTTTTTTGCAAAACAGTTTTCTGTCAAATTAATCTTATATATTCTTCGAGACATGACAAAGACATAAACGAGACAAAATAATGGCTTTAGTGGGAATACAGATTAAATATATGATATTTATGCTTGCCGCGCAGCATGCGGCCGTGAGCGCAAAAAGTGCGCGGTCCGGAAAGGGTTAAATGGGATAGGGTTACTGAAATACTTGAACCTCAGGACCTAGGTAGCCTATGAGGTAAACTACAGGAAGCCGCCAACGCCCGATGCTCCAACCCTGCATGGAGATGAGATCACTTGCTTGCGAGATCCATAATAGGAAAGATTATTTGAAGGTCCCAGGTAAGCGCTCTTCATTCCTAAATATGCAATCAGTTCCAAAAAGGAATCAGGTAGAGGACAAGCGCAGTCGCTATCCGCTGCGGCGGAACAACTGCC